AACTCCTTCTAGACCACGGGATAACTGTCTAACAAACGGTATTGAAAAAAATTTTGACGTATCTTTCTCCACTTGAAAAGTCGAATTTTCAAAAATCATTAACCTATACCTACGTTTTCTAATTATTTTATCTACTAGTGAAGGAGAATATCCATTACACTCAGCTACATTCCTAATGTAATCTCTTTCTATTTCATATCTTTCGTTGGAAAGTGGAAAACTAAGTAATCTATGAACTAAAAAATTTAAACTAGCCATTTTATGTTCAATACTATGATATGATTCATTAGGAATATATCTGCGTGTAGTGGTATTTTTCCTATAGATATCAAATTCCAGGCAATTATTAGTATTTCTAATAACTAATACATCTAGAAATGGTAATCTGTCGTTGTTGTCAATTTCATGTGTAAATTTAATGGAAGGAAAACGATTATTTAACTTAGAAATAAAATTATCTATGGTGTCTGAATGTTTGTTAAAAACAGCAAAAATATCATCCACATACCTAAACCATACTCTTGTAAAATACTCAAACTGATTCTTAGCCACCACTTCAAACCTGCTCATGAATAAATTAGCCAAAAATGGAGACAATGGATTACCCATTGCTGTACCTTCCCGCTGTTCAAAGAAGTTGTTATTAAATTGAAAACAATTTTGTTTCATACATAACGATGTAAGCTCAATATATTCAGTCACAGTTTTGTTGTCGAGACCATTTGCGTTCAGTAATTCCTTCAAGTAGCCTAAAGTGTGTGGAATTGGAACACTTGGGAACAACGACCCGATAAAAGTAAACGTGTTTTGGTGTATTGTGGTGATTTAGTGTTTTTATTTTGCTGTGTAACACCAAAGGTTCCAACCCTCAACTGTAAGCTTACTAAATGTACAAAGTTTAGATGTTACTATACTACTACGGAAATTTAAACGGTATAGCTTATCTTTAACCTTGAAATATCAATGTTTTCATTGGCCAGTATTGTACTTTTTAGCATTGAATAGTACGACCATAAACTGGACGGCTGCATTTTCTTTGATTTTTTAGAAAAATATGCTAAAAGTATCTATTCACTTGATCTTTCTTCTCGCACGTTTTTTAATTGCTTCAATTTTTGAAAAATTTTCTATTCCTTTTCATAAGTTATTCGGGATTTAAATGAAAGTAGTTTGGATATAGCGTTTGTCGCCTCAGCCTGAATATCTGTTGGTAATTTACTTATTTCGTTTTGAGCCATTTCTGGCTCCAATTCAATCAGCAATCGACACGAAAGAGAATTAAAAAATATTGACTCAAAACTGACAACTAAAGAGACAGCTTTATTTATTTGTCAAATTACATAGAAACCAACCCCAACCCAGCACAATATTTTTTCTACTCGTTATAAATTTCTTGAAAAAATAATTTCTGAACATTTTTTAAAACGTAACTCGCTATGGAAAAAAAATTGTTTTATACACGACGATAAAATTGCACTATCGTCTCCCGAAATTAATTTACTCGCGATTTCATCGCTCGTGAATTAATCTTTTCGGTCGGTTCTTGTATAAAAAATAACTATTGTTATCCCTCGTATAATAGACAAATGAGTCGACTACATTTATCATTTATCTACTATATTTTTAGGTTGTTCCTTGTTCTATTATACTATATATAGTTCACTGAATACCGTAATAATATACTTTCTGTTAATTCAACACTTTATTGAATGGCAGCGAATCCAAGAAATTAGAACAATTAGCGGTTTACTCTTGAATGTGTGTGTATAGGTACTATACATGTCTCTCGGCGAAGTACGTATCTACAATCGTCTAACAGCACCACTCTCAATATTTAAATAAGGCCTGTTTGTACGGAGTATTTGCATTTTGTTTTGTGCACTTAGCGTCCGTATGTTAACAAGCCGTACGTTTTTTTTTTTCCATTAAGTGTGTTTGAAGAGATTTTCTGTAATTGAAAGTAGTACCAGTATAGATCACATTTTCTAGATAGTAACTTCGTATAATGTAATTGGTAAAAAAAATATAGTTACCCTTAGACTTAAAAAATAAGTGAAAAAAAGTCGATTTTATCATATACAGGGTGCTACAAATTCGAGGTACGAGCATTGGTATCTCGGTAACCGTAATAGATACGAACATGGTTAAATTGGGGCAAAGTTGCGCTTTGGGATGCTCACCAAGATGCCATTAAAAAAGTTTTAAAATTTTCAAGGATTGTTGAGTTTTTTGAAAAAAAAAATGATTTTTTTTGAAAATCAATTTTATTTTTTCCTGTCGTTACTTTTTAGAAAATCAAAAAACTAATTGCACATTCTCGTAGCCACTTTATTAAAGCTATCTGATAGTATTTTTCGATTTTCAAATTAGCTGATAAGTTGTGAGATACAGAGGCCAACTTATTTTTTTTAAATACGGACCTGCATTTTTTACTTCAGATTTTGAAAGAACTCGGTCTCCTGATTACAATGATATGCCACACTTAATATTGCTTTTTTGCTTTGATATTTGAACACAATTTATTTAAAATAATCGATGTCAGGGTGGGTCAAATTCGACGCTTTTAAATGGAAACACCCTTTTCTATAGGAGATAGACGAAAACTAATATCGGTGTCTGGAGCTCAATTTTCATCAAAAGCATAATGGTGAAAACCGCACATCAATATCTGTTACCGTTTCGGAGTTACGGGGTGTTTTTCAAAAATGTGCATTTTTAACAAATCGCTGTAACTTTTTTGCTATGAAAAATTTCGTATTTCTTAAATTATTAATTTTAAAAAAAATATACTTAAACCATTAAATTCTACGTAAAAAGGTGCTTTGGAAATGTTTTCATAAAAATACAAAATTTTCCATAGCAAAAAAGTTACAGCGATTTGTTAAAAATGCACATTTTTGAAAAACACCCCGTAACTCCGAAACGGTAACAGATATAGATATGCGGTTTTCACCATCATGTTTTTGACAAAAATTGAGCTCCAGACACCGATATTAGTTTTCGTCTATCTCCTATAGAAAAGGGTGTTTCCATTTAAAAGCGTCGAATTTGACCCACCCTGTACTTCAACAGCCGTTAAACGGTAGCCTACTAAAATGCCGTTAATAGATATTGTGACGTCGTTCATGTCGGCGGAAAGTAATGCCTGTTAGGCTATACCTTAAGCATTTCGCAAGAGCACCTGTGGGTCAGTGGCTGAGGCTATCGCTTCGTAAGCGAATGGTCCGTGGTTCAAATCTCACGCCGACGAAGACTTTTTTATATTTTTTTTTGCTTATAGGGTGATCTTATTGCATTGGTTTCACTTTTTTTGGTTGGATTGGTTTAGTTATTTGGCGGGTTGGTTAGCGTGGTTATTTGGAGGGTGTTAATTCATTGGTTAGTTGGTTATTTGGTAGGGTTGGTTGGTTTTTACTAATTTATATTTGTCTTTTAAATTTTTTTATCAGTGTCGAAGTTAGTTGCGTTGGTTAAGTTGGTTATTTGGTGGGGTGGATAGCGTTGGTTAGTCCTTATAGGACAGTCAGTTAGTCACATCAACGACGTCATACCTATTAACGGCATTTTAGTAAGCTACCGTTTAACGGCAGTTTAAGTACAGCCTAAAATAATTTCCTAATTTAAGTCCGGCTCTGTTTTTTTTAAATATTTAATCTATTCATCAGCATAACCCTGAGGAATGAAAATAAGGGACTGGAACATTTGAAGAAGCGCAGTCTGAATACAAAATCTGAACGATTTAGGGAGATACACCAGTTTTTTACTTTCATTTTTTTCCTACTTGGAGATGATAATGTAAAAGAAGTTAGCTTCAGATTACTAAAACACAGTTGGGGTTCGATACTTTGATGTTATAATAGCAAAATTTAACACTAGTTCATGGTAATACACCAAAATACTTTGGAAACACTGAACGACTGAAATTTTAGTTTTAATCATCTGCTGATGATAGCTAACATGATTAATGAACCATACGTCCAGTTTTTTAAATGTATAAGTGTAAAAACTACTCAAACTAATAGTTACCCTTAATAGGAAATCGTTGAAGATGATGTCAAATATATACAGGGTGGTCTGTACTGTATTCCGGAAACTTCGGCAGCATATTCTGCAGATAAAAAATAAGCAAACACGTTCGTATAAAGGTGTGTCCGACAATGTCTAATTTCGGAGATACAGGGCGTAGAACTTTCATTTTTATTTCGATTTTTCCCAAATAATTTCTGAACATCAGTTCGGACCAACCTGAATAACTAAATGCCTTTATTGTCAACAAATTTTACAATTTGTAGACAAAGGTAGAGTAAACAAACAAAAGAAAATACAAAACAAGTATACAAATTACATTGTCAGTCTTATTGTTTAAAATAAACATTAAAAAAATTAATGTTTACAATGTCAAAGAATAAAAAAATAAAAATAAGATTCAAAAATATTTAGTAAGTTTATAGTAAATATAGTAATAGCAAATATTAGACCAGTGTTTACAAGATCAAATTCGATTATCAAAATATGTCATTTACGGTGTAGAAAGCCTTGTCTATTAAATAAGATTTCAATGCTTTGCGAAATGAAGAAAATGATGTTATCGATTTAATTTCAAATGGCAGGTGATTGTGCATTTGTTTCGAGTTGTATAATATTGAACTTTTAACTAACTCTGGGCGTGGGGTAGGTAGATAAAGATCTTGCTCCGCGCTCCTGAGTGGATAAGTGTGAGATGGCCTTTCTTGAGAAGCTGATACATGCTTACGTATTAGGCAAACGGATTCAAATATAAATAAGGAAAGAAGAGTTAATATTTTTATTTTTTTTTAAAAAGTCCTGGCAATGAGTTCTGCTGTTTAGTCCGTTGTTTAGTTCTGCTGTACAGGAAATCGTTGAAGATGATGTCAAAAATGTTGAATAATATTGGATTATGGATTATAAATGGATTGTTCTTATTTTCGATAAAATAATGGTATGTAGGTAATAATTACAATTAATGAGAGTGGACTTACCCCAATGATGGCGTTTAATTCTGTCATTGTAATTTGTTTCGCCCTCTCCACTGCAGTGGCCACTTGTTGCTGGTGTTCTTGCGATAGGAATGGTAGGATTTGCGCTATGATGGCGTTCAGTCTTTTGCCTATTTCAGTCTGAAACAAAACGAAAATAATCTTTATTTGTGCAGATTCCAAATTTTTAAGCAATAAAGTCAGTCACTGCAGACTAGGGGATTCAATCCCGGGATTTCGGGATTCCGGGATCCCGATTCCGTGACGCCCGTCATTCGCCTCGGTTGATTATATGAAAACGGAAAGATGTAGAAACAAAATATTTTATGGGTATATGTAGACAGATAATGTGCATAATTTAAAATTATTTTGAAATGGGTGTGTCAGAACTAAGATCCATACCAAAGTTATATTTTTATAATGGAATTATATGGAACACCCGCTATTTTATTTCATTTATGGATTTTTTTGCATAAAATAAGGCATTTATTATAAGGGTTTAATATGTTTAAATGCTTTGGTTTTTGAGTTATTTAAAGATATTTAAATATGCATGCTATAATAAAAATGTTTGTAAACACCCTGTACATTATTTTTCAGAATTAATTCTTGTGCTGACTTTGAAGCCAGAGAAATAAACTTTACTAAAAAATTTGATTGGTTCCTTAAATGTATACAGGGATATTAAAAAGTGCTGGTCTATTTTGAATATTTATTTTACATAAAAACTTCGTTATTTCAAATGCAACACTATGTATTTTTTAAAATAAGTCGAAGCAGATTTAAATGCTCTTTCAAACTATATTAGGGTTTCCTATACCTATCTGGCTCAGATTTTGAATAAAAAGAGATTTTTTAATAAAACGGCAATCAAGATGGCTGGTGTCGCCATGTCAATTTGCTAGTGACAGTTAGTAGCTACTTTCAAAATCTCCTGCCACCATCAAGTGTCTATTAACTAAGACTGAATAAGAAATGACACAATAAGAAAAATACAACCGTTAAAAGAAAAAGTAAAAGTATATAAAAACAAATGGAAGGTATACGTAGAAAGAATGAGATGATAGAACTCCACACATATGTTATGATATCAATCTATACAGAGATGATGAAGCGGAACAGGTTTTTAAACCTAAACCTAAAAAGGATATGACAACGATAATTCTGTATCACTCTATAGCCACACTCAACTTAAATAAAAAAAAACTATTTAATCATATCCAGTACTTCTAAACAAATTCGTTTAAAATAACCAAACAAAACAAATACACGAAAAAGAAAAACACGCAAACACAGAAACTTTAACAGAAGACACGCTAACAAAACTCATTTCCAGCCGAGCAACTTCGGATAAAAATCCTTTTTGAAAAATAAATACTGCAGCAGCGCAGCGTAACGTTTCGACATATTATTTCTTTTTTCCGCCCCTCTTCAGTATCTACTATACCGCTTCACATTCGTATATCGTTTTGTTTCGGCGTGTTTCTCTTTTTCTCCCATCCGCAGTATTTTCCAGACTGACGAGAGTGTTTGCCTGGCGGCTCGGAGCGTGTGTAAACACTGCGCGCCCTTAGTGTTTGCCCTCACGGTTCGCAGGACGATTCCGGTGCAGGGTAGGAGAGCGTTGTTTTTCGACGAGAAAAAAAATGGAATGAAAACGTGTAGGAAATTCTGTGCAAACTTTTAATTAGTACGTGTACTGGATGATTAACAGGTGTAAAAATAGAAATGTATGATTTAGAGAATAAAATTTTACTTGTTACGATGCAATAAATTCAATAATAAATAGAAAATGCAAAATAATATGAAATAAGCAAACTATATCGACTATATTAGTATCTGATCTCTTTGAAAATTTGTTACATCTTTAAAAATAATCTAAAATGTCAATATTCCATGGATATAGTGATGAATGATGTCTAAATTATAAGAAAATGCATTTTTTACAAAAACTTGAGGAGATAGGTAAAAAATGATTTAATACAATTTGATAGACAATTAAATTGTGCATCCGATTCTCGTAAAATATACAGGGTGTTCCATTTAAATCAAACAAGTTATTGCCGTTTAAAGCTAGTAATTGTTTAATATAAATTTTTAGACACTCTGTATAAGGTAGTATTTTGTTTATTATTGCAACACAATATCTGATCAATAAATAAACTTCAGTAAATATTTAGTATTAAAAACTTTGATACCCTTGAAACCTTCATAAAATTAAAAAATATTTCAAAAACGGCAAGGTTTAAGTGTGATAAACCTTAATCAAATATATCTTTATTTCAATCGTAAAATCTAAAAATAGAATAATATACAGGGTGTTTGATTTTAAAAAATACAACTATAATATTTTTTATTTATTTGGGACACTCTGGATATTGTAAAAATATTTTTAAATTGTAGCTTTAATAGTTCTTCAACGAACCCAAAACGTCCAATTTGTAAAAATCTAATCCTTTAGCTACAATACTCCGAACAACCCTGTATATTTATAATTAATTAATTTGTATTTCCTAAAATATTTTGATTAAAAGAAAATATGTAAAAGTGGATAACGCTGTGCCGGCCAAGTTTAATCACGTGACTAATACCTAGTTTATTTGGTATGAACTGTAGATCTTGTGTACTTGTGTAACACCGTATCACAAGTACAGGGTGTCCCACTAAGAATAGCTCTGGGCTGTATCTCGGAAAGTATTAGCCGTAGGTGCTGCGGAAAAAAATATTTATAACTAAAGAGGCTATGAGAAATTGCTGGAAATTATTTTCAAGTTTGTAGAACGACCGCTAGGGGACGCAACTGCAACAAAAAATAAGAAAATGGAGTTTTTACACAATTTTGCCTAGATAAGGTGTACTATAAGTAATAGCTTCTTAATCTTCAGTATATTTTGAATATTTTTTGTTAGAGCTATTTTCCCCTATCTACCAAAATAAAGTGGTGGGGGAAGGTTAGATCCATTTTTATTTAAATATTAATATCTCTGGACTGGATGATCGGAATCCAACAAGCGAGAGCTCGTTTAAAAGAGCGTTTCTTACTCTATATTACACCATATAAACAGTAATAATAAGCTTTTGACCATAGACGCTAGGGGGCGTTGTCTTACAATTTAACAAACATTGCGCGTTTTTTCAAAAAAATTAAATGCAATAGTATATGTAATTTTAGCTGATCGGAAAGAGTAGAGAAAGATTAAAAAGTCAGCGAAAACCGCATCTTGATATCTTCTTTCAAACCGAAGACATTAGCAAAATTATAATAAATAACAAAAAGTAAGCCTTTAATTAACTTATTTTTACAACACAGTATCAGTAGCCCTCTTGATTATGCCCATTTTAACAAAAAATAAGATAGAAACAGTTAGTTTATTTTAAAATAGACAAAATACCAGAATACCATAATACCAGAGGTATTAATATCTAATAATTAAGATATTAATAACAGAGGACAAGAAACGATGATTCAATGAAGTCATGGGAGGCTTTGGAAAAAAGTTGCTTTTGACGTAATAGTATAAACGTCAAATTGTTATTAAATCAACATTTTCATAGTCTTAGCAGCGTTTTTTTTATCTTTTGATTGCTTTTTCGAAATGCCAACAACTTCAAATACTTCAAATAATAAAAGCAATAAAAAACGCTGCTAAGGCTATCAAAATGTTGATCTAATAACAATTTGACGTTTATACTATTACGTCAAATGCCTACCATGACTTCACTGAATCATCGTTTCTTGTCCACTGTTACTAATATCTTAATTATTAGATATTAATATACCTGGTATTATGGTATTCTGGTATTTCGTCGATTTTAAAATAAACTAACTGTTTTTATCTTATTTTTTGTTAGAATGGGCATAATCAAGAGGGCTACTGATACCGTATTGAAAAAATATGGTAATTAAGGGCTTATTTTTTGGTATTTATTATAATTTTGCTAATATCTTCGGTTTGAAAGAAGACACCAAGATGCGGTTTTCGCTGACTTTTTAAGCTTTTTCTACTCTTTCCGATCAGCTAAAATTACATATACTATTGCATTTAATTTTTTTGAAAAAACGCGCAATGTTTGTTAAATTATAAAACAACGCCCCCTAGCGTCTATGTTCAAAAGCTTATTATTATTGTTTATATGGTATAATATAGAGTAAGAAACGCTCTTTTAAACGAGCCCTCGCTTGTTGGATTCCGATCATCCAGTCCAGAGTTATTAATATTTAAATAAAAACAGATCTAACCTTCCCCCACCACTTTATTTTGGGAGATAGAAAAAAATGGCTCTAACAGAAAATATTCAAAATTTACTGAAGATTATGAAGATATTACTTATAGTACACCTTATCTAGGCAAAATTGTGTAAAAACTCCATTTTCTTATTTTTTGTTGCAGTTGTGCCCCCTAGCGGTCGTTCTACAAACTTGAAAATAATTTCCAGCAATTTCTCATAGCCTCTTTAGTTATAAATATTTTTTTCCGCAGCCCCTACGTCTAATACTTTCCTAGATACAGCCGAGAGCTATTCTTAGTGGGACACCCGGTACATGCGATCGGTAACCTTCGCTCTGTATACCGGGTGCGTCTCAAGTGGTGGCGACAATGTCAAAAGTTGAGATGTGATATGTCATTCTATTCATGCATAATAATGTCATTTTCTATCAAATAAAGTAAAAAAATACCGACGGTGCCATTTAAAAATCAAAAGTTGGAGTCATTTCCGGTGAAACAGGAAGTGACCAAAAACAATTGAATACATCAATCAATCCTAATTTATGTCATATACTAACATACCAAATCTCGCTTTTTTATCTGAAAAAATAAAAAAGTTATATGGGGTGAGCCACTTTTGGGACGCACCCGGTAAAGTATGGCACCGTAAAACGAATAAAATACGATTCTTTAATTTGCAGCTTTAGATTGACATAAGATTTGATAGTCTAAAAAGAGTCTTTATTGAGAATAATCTCGTGACAAGTATCGAACCAGGCGTCACCACTATCTCCAATCTCCAATCATATTATCGCTTATTACGGCCTATATAGCCTTCGTCCAGATAGACAATGTCCCCACACAACAAGCAAACAACAAGCGGAACTCACTCTATTTAGACCAGCTCCCCAGCCACAATCTCTCCCTCTCTCT